AGCCATAACAACTTTGTCAAGAATTTATGAGGTTCATGAAAAAAAAGTACTAGCTTATGAAACCGAATACGAATTGGAACCCCTGACGATAATAAGACCTTTGTAAGGCATAGTCCGTGCTGTGAGCATTTTAACGAGACTTGCACAGTAGCAATGGTTCCAAAGTTTGAAAATGCAAAACTGTGGTAAGAATGTCAAAAGTGGACGGTAGTAGTAGTAGTAGTAGTAGTAGTAGTAGTAGTAGTAGTAGTAGTAGTAGTAGCAGCGTCGGTGGCCTAGTGGTTAGGCTCTCCGACTCGTGGGTTTGAATCCTATCAGCGACCCCATTTTGTGTTGTTGGGAAAGCCTACTCTTATCGATTTTAGACCACCAAGGGATCTTTAACGTGCGCAACTTGCACACTGGCCCTCCGAGATTTTTCGCCCTTGTCCGAGAAGGCTAGGTGTAGATCTTTCCTACCAGAAGATCAGGGGTGTGGAAGAAAGACAGCAGTAAGGAGGAGCCAATGAAATGAAAGCAGACAACAGAACATTGCTAGAGAGCAGGAAAGAAGGTGAAAGGAGACAATTTTAGAAAGAAAAAAAATTTCGGTCGCTACCCGGATTCGAACCCGGGACCTTTGAATGAGAGGCAAACACCTTAACCTCTAGGTCACGAGAGCCCCCAGGTGGGAATAAGTAATCAGCTATTATAGGCAGTGAAAGATCTTGTCAGTTTGTATTCTTCCCGGGAAGCTGAAAATGTTTCTGAGTGTTCTATGATCTGCTGGGGTAGTAATAATTAATGTAAATTTAAACGCATAGAGCTTGCTGTAGAGCGGCGATATTCGCTATACAAATGCTAATTTAGTAGAAGTAGTAGAAGTAGTAGTAGTAGTAGTAGTAGTAGTAGTAGTAGTAGAAGTAGTAGTAGTAGTAGTAGTAGTAGTAGTAGTAGTAGTAGTAGTAGTAGTAGTAGTAGTAGTAGTAGGAGGAGGAGGAGGAGGAGGAGGAGGAGGAGGAGGAGGAGGAGGAGGAGGAGGAGGAGGAGGAGGAGGAGGAGGAGGAGGAGGGGAGAGGAGGAGGGGGAGGAGGAGGAGGAGGAGGAGGAGGAGGAGGAGGAGGAGGAGGAGGAGGAGGAGGAGGAGGAGGAGGAGGAGGAGGAGGAGGAGGAAAAGGAAGAGGAGGAGGAGGAGGAGGGGGAGGGGGAAGAGGATAAGGAAAGAAAAGGAGGACTGGCAGCAGCACCAGCACCTGTAAAAACAGGAGTAGAGAGGGCAAGAAGAAAAAAGATTTTAACAATGTTTTAAGAAAGAAAAAGAAAGTGAGAAACGACGGCATGCAATTAAGCTTAGTAACAAAAAAAGCACTTAGTTTAGAATAAAAGCAGAGAAATGATCTCACCTTAACTTCCTCTAATACTCAAATTCTGAGCTCTGGTGATAGCTGAGAAGTGCACCCACCCTTTTATGCAAGGTCGCTCTGGGTAGATGGTCCGCTTTCTCCCCGGAGAGGGAGAGTGCTTCGTCACAATACCAAGCTTTTGAGACCACATAATACTTCAGGATCAGTCACGAGCTAATCCAGTTGATAGAAGTATTATGTTTGAAGTGCTGTGTGGGCATTTTTGTGTTTGTGCCGCTGAGATTTAACAGTTATAAATCAGGTCTAACTACTTTTAAGCAACTTTTTCATTACACGAAAACTGATTAGAGGAAATTTAGAGGAGAATCGGCTTCGTCCCCACCATCAACAACAATTTAACTAAAAACAAAGAGATGGAAAACAAAGGCAACTCTTCTCGTTTGAATGGTTCTCAAACTGCCATGGCTCACCGTAGGTGTAGAAAAATCATCACTGTTTAGTTCGTATTGCTTGCTATTTGGTGGTGAAGAACTGGAAGCAACCTAAGCCCCACCCAAATTTTGATCTACCCACCGCCACTGGTGACCACATTGTACCGTGTTGTGTCTATAAGCTTTGACTTGATTGTATATGCGCTATGCACCGAGAGAGAGGGTGGGAGAGAGAGAGGGGGGGGGAGAGAGAGAGGAGAAAAAAAGAGAGAGAGAGAGAGAGAGAGAGAGAGAGAGAGAGAGAGAGAGAGAGAGAGAGAGAGAGAAAGAGAGAGAGAAAGAAAGAGAGACGCACGCACGCACGCACGCACGCAATTACGCATACACACCGTATCACACATTTTCACATTTTCACGCACAGTAGTCTTTCTCTAGGAGACTCTCGTGGTCTAGAGGTTAAGATATTGGTCTCTCATTCAATAGGACCCGGGTTCGAATCCGGATAACGATGGAAAACTGTCTTCTCTAAAATGTTGTCATTTCACATCCTATCCTGCTCTCTAACAATGTTCTATTGTCTGCTTTAGTCTCTACTTTCTACTTTCTGCCACCCGCCCCCTCACCTCCTTTGACCCCTCCTCTGGGCTCCTGGCTTTTTCAGCAGCCTCTATTGCTACTCCTTGGCTTCTTCTTACTGCTGTCTTTCAGCCACACCCCTGATCTTATGTTAGGTAAGATCTACACCTAGACTTCTCTGAGAAGGGTGAAAAATCTCGGAGGTCCCATATGAAAATTGCACACGTTCAAGATCCCTTGGTCCAAAATCGATAAGACTAGGCTTCGGTCGCCACCCGGGCAAAATTCTAAATTTCCTACCAACTGAAAATGTTTAATGTGTCCCGCACGCTCGTACGATCAAATGCAGTTGTGAGCGCCGTGAAACACTTACCAAAAAGAATAA